GAGAGGGCAAACAGGGACATAAGTTCTCACTTTGGACTGTGGGTTACAGGGTTTTCAGCTGGAAGGTGGGGTTTTGCTGGGAACCTGCCCTTGTCTGCCTAGAATTTCTCCGCCTCCTGCCTCTATTAGAAAGAGAATTAGGAGGTTAATATTGACTGGATGTGGTGACCCTTTGTGGGAAGGAAGAGAAAGAAGAGGGGTTGGGGTGACCTCTGGGTTTCTGGCTTGCACAACTGAGTGGGGAGTTGAGGGAGCTGAGATGTGATGGAGAAGATGAGATCAGTTTGGACCAGGTGAGTTGGAGGTGGAAATAGGGCCCTCAAATTGAGACGGCTTCTGGGTGGTTGGCTATAAGGATCTGGAGTCTGGAGCGATGTGTGGGCTGGGAGCTAGACACATGTTATTTGACCTGTGGTTTTCCACTCTCCAGCTGGGTCATGGGCTCGGGGAGGTCAGGAGCTGGTTACATACTTGTTACCTAGGTATACACACACAGGCACTTCATGAATGCTTAAAGGGTGGGTGGTTCTGGGTGGCACCTTCATACTCCCCTGACAATAACAACCTGCCTCTTCAGCTTGTTATTGGCGTGGCAGCCAGGGAAGCCTCCACAGGGCCACTGTTTGGAAAGAGACTATAATCTTTAAATACCAGGCAAGAGCATGAAGCCTGCTGAGGGGCAGTCACACATCAACAGGTGACACCATCTGCCATTGTGAAACCCACTTACACCAAAGAATGCTAATAGGCCAGGTGCAAACTTTCGTCTGTGCTGACCTTAAAAAACTCCTTCATAGAGTTGGGAGGGAAGATCCTGAAAAACCAACCAACCACATACATCCACCAGTAAACAGAGAAGCTAACCAAACCCACTGCCTCTCTCCCCAGGAACTAGCCTAGAGCCTAGAGTGCTATTTCCTTTTGTGAACTAGAAGTATTTTATGACTCATTGACCAAGGGCCAAGAAGCCCAGTGTCTAACATTTTGAAGCCTGAGGCAAAAGAAGAACACCAGAAATATTGATCCTGTCTTTGATTATTTTGGTGTCTTGGTCATTGTGGATTTTATTGTAAATTTTGACTTTTTAAAATATTGCCGTAAAATGTTATTCATTTCAATAATAATACTGTTTTTTTTTTTTTTGGCAGCCCCTTAAACGTTATACCTGAGTGGGTGCTTCTCTTGCCTCATCCTAGTGTAGGTCCTGGAAAAGCCCCTGAGAATCGCCCAGTGCCTCCCGCCAGATCAGAACACTGACCATCTGCAGCAGGTTGTTACCAAACAGAACTTGGGTCTGCCCACCTGGTACAGCAAAGCCAAACACTAGCATTGGGATTGCAGTGAGAGAAAGGGAGGCAATGATTGCAGGGCACCCAGCAAGGAGAATCGGGCAGCTCATGCTTAAGACCTGAATTCCCTCATGGCTTACAGCAAGGGCTTTTGAAGGTGGAGAGGCAGAGGTTACAGGCAATGTCATAAATCAATACATGGAGGCAGGATGGGCAAGGTGGCACACACCTGTGGGCCCGGCTATTGGAGAGGCGGAGGTGAGAGGATCACCTGAGCCTAGCAGGTTGAGGCTGCAGTGAGCTATTATCATGCCACTGCGCTCCAGCCTGGGCAACAGAGTGAGACCCTGTCTCAAATAAACACCACCACCACCACAAACAACAGCAACAAACCCCCATAACGTGGAGGCTATGTATTGGTTGGACCTAAAAAGTCTGGACATCTTGGGGAGGAGGGCATCGGTCATAGGTGGATTCGAAGATTTTCTGATTTGTAATTGGTTAAAGAAGAGAAGCTCGGTCTAAACATTTGAGATCAGCAGAGAAAAATGATAGCTCTGGCTCGTGGGCATGACCTCCTCCAGGTCCCTCAGGAAGAGCAAAGAGTGATGGACAGAGGTTAGTCCCAGTTACCCCTTACCTGCTATGTGCCAGGGTCATCTGCGTTTCTGAAAAATAATATATATTAAGAGGTTATCTTTGGTTTTCATAGGGAACATCCCATCACTCTAACTTCCTTGGCTATTGTTTCAGGCTACTGTTACCTTCCTGCTTATCGAGTTTCTCATTTGCTTCCCAGGGAGAGGAGGTGCCTGGAATTTCTCCTGAAGGAACTCAAGATTTTCCTTTATTTCCATCCCTGGGGGGTTCCCAGCAGGCCTATAAGAGGAGTCCCGGACTCACTCTCAAGGTTAGTGAGTGAGTGATGACCTCACAGCTTCCTTAACGATAGGTATCTGGCTTTGCATTATCCAAGTTTCAGGCTAGACGGCCCAGCCTCAGTGTTCCCCTGTTGATTGTCCTCGTGGTCTTTATCACCCTACCTTGGGTATTTCATTTTATTTATTTATTTATTTAATTTTTTTGAGACGGAGTTTTGCCTTTGTTGCCCAGGCTGGAGTGCAATGGTGTGATCTTGGCTCACCACAACCTCCACCTCCTGGGTTCAAGCAATTCTCCTGCCTCAGCCTCCCAAGTAGCTGGGATTACAGGCACACGCCACCATGCCCAGCTAATTTTGTATTTTTAGTAGAGACGGGGTTTCTCCATATCAATCAGGCTGGTCTCGAACTCCTGACCTCAGGTGATCCACCCACCTCTGACCTCCCAAAGTGCTGGGATTACTGGCGTGAGCCACCGCACCCAGCCTCCTTTGGGTATTTTTAAAAATTGCTCACTCCCCACTGCCCACTAGAACATAGGCCTTGTGTGGGCAGGGATCTTGTTTGCTTTGTTCACTAGGTCAGCAATGCCTGGAATGGGGCCTGATACAAAGTAAGTGCTCTGGAAATATTTCATGAATGAACAACAGCTGATGGTTCTCAAGCACTTGCCACGTGCTGATCACCTCACCTGTAGCAGCTCATTTAATACTCACAACAACCTGGCAAGGCAGGTACTATTCTTGTCTCCATTGTACAGGTGGGAAAACTGAGGCATAGAGTGGTCTTGTAACTTGCCCAAGGTCATATGGTTAGTAAGCAGTGAAGCCGAGATTTGAACCTGAGCAGTCTGGCTCTAGAGCACGGATTCTCAAACTCAGCATGATTGACATTTTGGGCTGCATAATTCTTTGTGGTAGGGGCTGTCCTGTGCATTGTAGGCTATTTAGCAGCATCTCTCGTCTCTACCTAGTAGAGGTATCACCTGGCCTCCCCAACTGTGACCACAAAAAATGTCTCCAAACTCTGAGGTGAGGAGTAAAATCGCCCCGTTGGTAACCGCTGCTCTAGAGCTTGTTTTTGTTTTAAGACAGTCTTGCTCTGTTGCCCAGGCTGGAGTGCAGTGGTGTGATCCTGGCTCACTGAAACCGCCACCTCTGGGGTTCAAGCGATTCTCCAGCCTCAGCCTCCGGAGCAGCTGGGATTACAAGCACCTCACAACGCCCAGCTAATTTTTGTATTTTTAGTAGAGACAGGGTTTCACCATGTTGGCCAGGCTGGTCTTGAACTCCTGACCTCAAGTGGTCCTCCCGCCTCAGCTGGGATCACAGGCGTGAGCCACCACACCTGGCCTGCTCTAGAATTTGTAATCACTCCATCACACTGCCTTCCTATTTTGAATGAATGAAGAAACGTTTGGGTTCCAATCTGATGCATCCATTGCCCCAGTGTCTGCTTGTGGGCATGGAGGCAGAAGCCTCCCTCCTGAGGCTGGAAGGCCAAACTGCCCAACTGTGCTTTTCACCTTCAGTGAAGAGGAAGGGACCCCACCGAATGGACCCACTGGCACATAGAACTGAACTCTGGTTGCAGTTTTGTTCTAAATTTCTTCCTGAGGGTCCTGGAGGAGGTCATGTCCACAAGCCAGAGCTAACATTTTTTTTCTGCTGATCCCAAATTTTTAGACAAAGCTTTTCTTCCTTAACCAATTACAGATCAGAAAATCTTTAAAAAATTTATTATTTATTTATTTATTTATTTATTTTGAGGCAGAGTCTTGCACTGTCGCCCAGGCTGGAAGACAGTTGTGCTATCTCGGCTCACTGCAACCTCTGCCTCCTGGGTTCAAGCAATTCTTTTTCCTCAGCCTCCTGAGTAGCTGGAATTACAGGTGTGCACCACCACGCCCAGCTAATTTTTTTTTTGTTTGTTTTTGAAATGGAGTCTCACTCTGTCACCAGGCTGGAGTGTAGTGTTGCGATCTTGGCTCACTGCAGTCTCTGCCTTCTGGGTTCAAGCGATTCTCCTGCCTCAGCCTCCCGAGTAGCTGGGATTACAGGCGCACACCACCATATCCAACTAATTTTTTGTATTTTTATTAGAGACAGGGTTTCACTACGTTGGCCAGGATGATTTCCATCTCCTGACCTCGTGATCTGCCTGCCTCGGCCTCTCAAAGTGCTGGGATTACAGGCGTGAGCCACTGAGACTGGCCAATTTTTTGTATTTTCAGTAGAGACAGGGTTTTATTATGTTTTCCAGGCTGGTCTTGAACTCCTGAGCTCAGGCAATCCTCCCACCTCAGCCTCCCAAAGTGCTGGCATTATAGGTGTGAGCCACTGCGCCTGGCCCAGAAAATTTTTGACTCCACCTATGACTGGTGCACAGCACTTGCCTCAAGATGCAACCGCCTTTATATGTTAACCAATATATAGCCTCTGTGTGTTGATTTATGACCTTGCCTGTCACCCCTGCCATCCCAACTTTAAAAACTCTTACCTGTAAGCCATCAGGTAGGGTAAAGACTTAAGTTCAGGTGTTAAGCATGAGTGGCGTGATTCATCTTGCTTGGTGTCCTTGCAATAAACGCCTCACTTTCTCTCGCTGCAATCCCAGTGTCAGTGCTTGGCTTTGCTGTGCCGGGCAGGTGGACCCAGGTTTGTTTTGGTATCAAGGCCATTGACCCATGGAACCCCAGGATGGCTTTTGGTGTCAAGAGTAACAGCTGATGTCTTGCTTAACAAAGCAGCTTGTATTATACTACTTCATTGGCACCTCAAAACACACTCTTCCTTCTCTACCACTAACTGTTTAATGGTATTTAATACCATTAATTATAATAATTCATTTAATTTTACTCTGTCATGAGACATCATTTTCCTCCCCATTTTTCAAATGAGAACACTGAAGCTCTGAGAGGTTAAGTGACTTGGCTGAGCTCATGAAGCAGGTAATGCTGGCAGTCAAAACCAGCTGGCAGTCAAAAGAAGGATCTAGAACCTTCTCCCTCTAGATCCCCTCTTTCTCCACTTGCTATCCCCCTCAGATCCGAGCACAAAGTAGGGGATGGAAATGTCTGGAGGAAACAGAAAAGCGGTTATGGAGCCAGGTGGCTGCAGGTCCCAGGGGAGGCGGCCTTGGGAGCTCTGGAAGGGGTTGTGCCTTACAGTGGGCCCCATGCCTGTGACTGAGGGTGGTGTTCCGGGGCTTCCCTTCCTGGGTGACAGTGAGGACACAGCTGGGCAGGATGCCATCTGGGCAGCCTTGCAGCTTCAGCCTTGCAGCTTCGCTCTTGGAACCCAGGTGTCAGACTGTGAGGAGCCCAAGCCACATAGAGAGGCCATGTGTGGATGCTCCCATGAACAGCCCTAGTGCAGCCCAGCAGACATCAACATCCAGCCACGTGACAGCGCCATCTTGGTGCACCAACTAGAGCACCGCCTGGTCCAGTTGAGCCTTCAGATGACTCCAGCCCCAGTTGCTGTGTGACTGAAACTTCACGAGAGACTCCAAATAAGAACTGACAGCTGGACCCAGTCAACCCACAGAACTGTGAAAGGTAACAAAAAATGGTTTTAAGCCATTATGTTTTGGAGTGGGTTGTTCTTGGTGCAGTAGGCAACTGAAACAGTCTTCCCCATCAAACTGTTGGTGCCTAAAAAGCAGGGATAGTGTCCTTGACACTCTGGATCTCTGGTCCCAGCCTGGGCTGGGTAAGGCGCAAGTGCTCATCAAATATTCTTTGACTGAACAAATGAAACCCATCAAAACTCGCTGTTCACCCTGAGATAGAATAGATTTATTAGCAAGAGGTAATCAGGAAACATATATTTTTACAAAAATGGAAATTTTTTTCCAAACGAGCTGTAAGTTGAAATATTTTAGGACTTGAAATAGAATTCTCATACCACTAGGTATTGCTTACAGCAAAAGTTGTCTGTCTGTTGTAGTGGAGCATGCCTGCCACTTCGGAGTTAACCTGTGTTTTCTATACTGTACAATGTAAAAAATACATGGTAATATTCACAGAATAAGCACTACATTACTATATTCCTGCTAGAAGGCATTTAGACAGGACTACAGTATATGCAATAAAAACACTTGGTTATTGATTTCCTAATTCTACAGTGTGGTACTAATTATCACAAGGTATACAGACTTAGAGCATCTCAATGTAAGCTTGTAGTGACCGTTAGGCGGCTTAAAGAGGAAAAGTGATATTTTTGTGTTCCCGACTTTCAGTGAATGCTGGGCCGGTGGTCGGCAAGAGTCGACGTGGCTTGGTGTTTGTGACTCTGTTTCCTCGGGAAGTCTAGGGCCTTATCCAGTTGTATTGAGACTGCTATTCATGCTATCTGGTGTTAATCCTAGAGCAAGGAGCAACATGGGGCCTGAACGAGATGGCAGCATTTGTACGAGGGGTGTGGTTCTGAGCAGAGAGGACTCCCTTCCGTCCAGGTTACTGGGAGACAGATGGGGAGTTTTGAGACCTGCGATTTTGGCTGGAGAAGCTGCTTTGGAAATTGACATCACCATCAGCGGGAAGATTTGTCAATGACTGGACTTCAGGGTATGGTTCCCCCTCCCGCCGCCCCCCACCCCCCACCCAGTTATAACAACTACATGGAACATGCTGGGAGGATGCCTGGGTGGCCACCTCAACCCAGGAGCCTGGGCTGGGGAGGGACGGAAGCAGGACTGGAGTCTGAGGTTCTTGTATGCAAGGGTGCTGTTTCCCCTCTGAGAAGAGTGAGGAGTCTAGGGAAGAGGGACCAAGAGTACAGCTGTTTAAAAGAAACAGGCACTGCAGGAGACGAGGGGAGGGACGGGTGGGCAAAGTCTGAAACGGTGCAGAAACTCATATTCCGGTTCTACAGGAATCTAAGAACAAGGACGATTTGTATTCTTGGAGAAGCACATACTGAAGAAGAAAATCCAGTGAAACCAAACGAATATGTACAGTATTATCTAGCACGTGTCCCCGGGAACAGCTGGGTCTGGGCTGGGCACAGCTTCAGGTGGGGAGTTTTGGTTCTATTCGGAGAGAAGACTCGTAGAGGCTTTCTTCATCCATTACAAAAGATTGGTCCAGTAAATATTGCGTTACCTGAGAAAAGAAAAGAGAAAAGGGAATGGGAGGGTTGTGGGACCTCCATAGTGCTGATTGTGGATGCCCTTTATCTCCTAGGGCCCAAGTCTCTTCCTGGGGAGAGTCAGATTGGCACATGAGGCAAAAATGCATTCAGTAGTGTTCCATCTTGACATAAGTTTTCAGTAGTTGACGTAAGTATTGTCTTAGGATTATTATTTAATATTGTCATAATATTAAGGTTGGTACAAAAGTAAAAAAAAAGTCAATTGTAGAAACTAGGTGGCGGATATATGTGTTCACAATTCTGTCAGTGTTTATGTTTGATCCGTCTGTCACAATTCTGTCAGTGTTTCCGTATGTGTGAAAAGTTTCATAAGGCTGGGCATGGTGGCTCATGCCTCTAATCCCAGCACTTTGGGAGGCTGAGGCAGGAGGATCACTTGAACCCAGGAGTTTGAAACCAGCTTGGGCAACAAAGTGAGACCCTGTTTCTACGAAAAATCAAAAAAGTAGCTGGGTATTGTGGTGTGCATCTGTGGTTCCAGTTACATGGGAGGCTGAGGCAGCAGGATCACTTGAGCCCAGGAGGTCAAGGCAGCAGTGAGCTGTGTTCACACCACTGTACCCTAGTTTGGGTACAGACCTTGTCTTAAAATAAAATAAAATGTTTTATAATAAAATGTTGGGATAAAATATATTTAAACACTAGGATTACATGGTACTGTGAGAGATTCACTCCAAGAGAGGCAAGTAGAAATGGAGGCTGTGTGAGAGAAGAGCCTCCCTTTTTTTTATCCTGGGGAGAAATCTTAAGAGTGGAAAATCAGAAAGATGCATCATATGAGTTAGGTTATCCTGTCTTCTCCTCTCTCCCCACCCCACTCCTGCTCTGAAGCATTTTGCTGAACGCCTGTGCATTAAATGTGCAATGAGAGATCTGAGCTCTAACCTCACAGGCAGCCCCCTGCTCCAAAAAGTGTCTTTCCAAGACTTACTTATTTGTCAGTTGTTTGGAACTAAAGGCACATTTCTCCCCCCTACATAAATCCAGAGCAGAAAGAAAAAAAAATTTTTTTTTGAGACAGCATCTTGCTCTGTCGCCCAGTCTGGAGTGCAGTGGTACAGTCTGCGCTCATGGCAACCTCTGCCTCCCGGGTTCAAGCAATTCTCCTGTCTCAGTCTCCTGAGTAGCTGGGATCCCAGGCATGCACCACCATGCCTGGCTAATTTTTGTATTTTTAGTTGAGACAGGGTTTTGCCATGTTGGCCAGGCTGGTCTTGAATTCCTGACCTCAAGTGATTCACCTGCCTCGGCCTCCCGAAGTGCTGGGATTACAGGTGCGAGCCACCGTGCCTAGCCAAATTTTCTTATTATATGTTTGGGAATCTTTTGATAGCTGCTTGAGAAAAATAAAGTCTGCTGCTTTTGTCTTGGCTAATTGACTCTGCTACTATAAAGGATGGAACCAGCTGTCTGCTATGCTGATAGCAGATAAAGTGATTACTATGTCCGATTAGCAGCTCATACCCAGCACTTCTAGGAAGATGACTTTAGATATCACAGTCTGGTTTAACCTACACCCACTGATAAAGACATGGTGATTTCATGACTGTGTGAAATAGTCTTTTATGTCTAGATAGTAGCATCATGTGAACAGTCCTTTCTAGGACGCACGAATCTCTACCTCCCAAGCCCCCTGGGGATCAGCAAACTGATCAGTTTCCTCCATAGTGAGCATGTGCAGGATCAATTTTAGTAGAGACAGGGTTTTGTCATGTTGGCCAGGCTGGTGTCGAACTCTTGACCTGACTTGGCTAAGTCAGGCTAATTTTCCTAAGACATTGTACTTTCGAGGGAGACTGGCAGCATATACCACCATTGCAAAGCTGTTAATGAAAGAAGACTGAAGAGCCGTAATATTTATTTATTTATTTTTTGAGGGGGAGTTTCACTCTTGTCACACAGGCTGGAGTACAGTGGCGCGATGTGATGTTGGCTCATTGCAACCTCCGCCTCCAGAGTTCAAGTGATTTTTCTGCCTCAGCCTCCCAAGTAGCTGGGATTACAGGCATGTGTCAACATGCCTGGCTAATTTTTGTATTATTAGTAGAGACAGGGTTCCACCATGTTGGCAAGGCTGGTCTCGAACTCCTGACCTCACGTGGTCCGCTTGCCTTGGCCTCCCAAAGTGCTGGGATCACAGGCGTGAGCCACTGGCCCTGGTCAGTAATATTTATTTGTATTGCACATCAGAGCTTGAGGGAAAGTTTAAGGAGACAAAAGCGGGAGATGGAAGAAAACCCTGAAATTTTGTTGGTAACTTCTGAGACTTTTCCAGGGCCCACTGTGACCATGGTACCTTCTGGATAAGCCCTGTGTGATCCACATGGCAACTCTGTGGTTCCCAGGCTGGATGAACACACAAACACAGACCCTCAAATACTGCTGAGTTATGTTGATACTTTTGTCTTAATATTTTTTATTGTAGAAGAAAGGATGTAACAATATAAAATACATTTTTGGAGAAAAACAGAAGCCCGTAATCTCACCACTCTAAAATAACTGTTTTCATTTTTTGTGTGTGTGATCGTCTAGTTCTTAAAATACAAAAGTACTTTTCCATAGTTGTACCTACGGAATGGATAGCACTTGGTATGCTTTCACTTATACTATTAGGAAAAATGTCCATGTTTCCATAACAAAATCTCCAAAGTTACACTTTTTAGTGGCTGTAAGACTGCATCATCTTGCACTATATTTACTAACCTCTTTCCCTATTATTGGGTATGTAAGATATGTTGGATATGTTTTCAGGTTTTTTTTTTTTTTTT